TCCAGGAATGCAAGGATTCTTCAATATATGCAAAGCAATCAACGTGATACACCATATTAACAAATTGAAGGAGAAAAACCATATGATCATCTCAATAGAGGCAGAGAAAGCTTTCGACAAAATTCAACACCCATTTATGATAAAAACTCTGCAGAAAGTAGGCATAGAGGGAACTTTTCTCAACATAATAAAAGCCATATATGACAAGCCCACAGCCAACATCATCCTCAATGGTGAAAAAAAAGCATTTCCACTAAGATCAGGAACAAGACAAGGTTGCGCACTCTCACCACTCTTATTCAACATAGTTTTGGAAGTTTTAGCCACAGCAATCAGAGAAGAAAAGGAAATAAAAGGAATCCAAGTCGGAAAAGAAGAAGTAAAGCTGTCACTGTTTGCAGATGACATGATACTATACATAGAGGATCCTAAAGATGCTACCACAAAACTCCTAGAGCTAATCAATGAATTTGGTAAAGTAGCAGGATACGAAATTAATGCACAGAAATCTCTGGCATTCCTATACACTAATGATGAAAAATCTGAAAGTGAAATCAGGAAAACACTCCCATTTGCGATTGCAACAAAAAGAATAAAATATCTAGGAATAAACCTACCTAAGGAGACAAAAGATCTGTATGCAGAAAATTATAAGACACTGATGAAAGAAATTAAAGATGATACAGATAGATGGAGAGATATACCATGTTCTTGGATTGGAAGAATCAACATTGTGAAAATGACTCTACTACCCAAAGCAATCTACAGATTCAATGCAATCCCTATCAAACTACCAATGGCATTTTTCACAGAACAAAAATTTCACAATTTGTATGGAAACACAAAAGACCCCGAATAGCCAAAGCAATCTTGAGAACGAAAAACGGAGCTGGAGGAATCAGGCTCCCTGACTTCAGACTATACTACAAAGCTACAGTAATCAAGACAGTATGGTACTGGCACAAAAACAGAAAGATCAATAGAACAGGATAGAAAGCCCAGAGATAAACGCACGCACATATGGTCACCTTATCTTTGATAAAGGAGGCAGGAATGTACAGTGGAGAAAGGACAGCCTCTTCAATAAGTGGTGCTGGAAAAACTGGACAGGTATATGTAAAAGTATGAGATTAGATCTCTCCCTAACACCATACACAAAAATAAGCTCAAAATGTATTAAAGACCTAAATGTAAGGCCAGAAACTATCAAACTCTTAGAGGAAAACATAGACAGGACACTCTATGACATAAATCACAGCAAGATCCTTTTTGACCCACCTCCTAGAGAATTGGAAATAAAAACAAAAATAAACAAATGGGACCTAATGAAACTTCAAAGCTGTTGCACAGCAAAGGACACCATAAACAAGACCAAAAGACAACCCTCAGAATGGGAGAAAATATTTGCAAATGAAGCAACTGACAAAGGATTAATCTCCAAAATTTACAAGCAGCTCATGCAGCTTAATAACAAAAGAACAAACAGCCCAATCCAAAAATGGGCAGAAGACCTAAATAGACATTTCTCCAAAGAAGATATACAGACTGCCAACAAACACATGAAAGAATGCTCAACATCACTATCATTAGAGAAATGCAAATCAAAACTACAATGAGATATCATCTCACACCAATCAGAATGGCCAACTTCAAAAAATCTAGAAACAATAAATGCTGGAGAGGGTGTGGAGAAAAGGGAACCGTCTTGCACTGTTGGTGGGAATGCAAATTGATACAGCCACTGTGGAGAACAGTATGGAGGTTCCTTAAAAAACTACAAATAGAACTACCATATGACCCAGTAATCCCACTCCTGGGCATATACCCTGAGAAAACCATAATTCAAAAAGAGTCATGTACCAAAATGTTCATTGCAGCTCTATTTACAATAGCCCGGAGATGGAAACAACCTAAGTGTCCATCATTGGATGAATGGATAAAGAAGATGTGGCACATATATACAATGGAATATTACTCAGCCATAAAAGGAAACGAAATTGAGCTATTTGTAATGAGGTGGATAGACCTAGATTCTGTCATACAGAGTGAAGTAAGTCAGAAAGAGAGAGACAAATACCGTATGCTAACACATACATATGGAATTTAAGGAAAAAAATGTCATGAAGAACCTAGGGGTAAAACAGGAATAAAGACACAGACGTACTAGAGAATGGACTTGAGGATATGGGGAGGGGGAAGGGTAAGCTGTGATAAAGGGCGAGAGAGGCTTGGACATATATACACTACCAAACGTAAGGTAGATAGCTGGTGGGAAGCAGCCGCATAGCACAGGGAGGTCAGCTGGGTGCTTTGTGACCGCCTGGAGGGGTGGGATAGGGAGGGTGGGAGGGAGGGAGACGCAAGAGGGAAGAGATATGGGAACATATGTATATATATATATATATATATATATATATATATAACTGATTCATTGTGTTGTAAAGCAGAAACTAACACACCGTTGTAAAGCAATTATAAAAAAATAGTTTAGTAGTTCATTTCTTTTTATTACTGAATAATTCGTGGTATGGATATATCATAGTTTAACCATTCACCCATTGAAGGACATTGGTGTTTTCCAGTTATTGCCTATTCCAGTTAAAGCTGGTATAAACGTTCATGTACTGGTCTTTGTGTGAACTTAAATTTTTAGTTCTCCAGAATAAATGCTTAGGAGTGCAATTGCTGAGTTATGTGGTAGTTGCATGTTTAGTTTTTCAAGAAACTGCCAAACTGTTTTCTGGAATGGTTGTACTATTATACTTTCCCACCAGGAAGGTAGCCAGTCTTTCTATATCCTCACCAGCATTTGATGTTGTCACTTTTTTTTTTTTTTTTTTTTTTTTTTTTTTTTTACGGTATGCGGGCCTCTCGCTGTTGTGGCCTCTCCCGTCACGGAGCACAGGCTCCGGACGCGCAGGCTCAGCGGCCATGGCTCACGGGCCCAGCCACTCGCGGCATGTGGGATCTTCCCGGACCGGGGCACGAACCCGTGTCCCCTGCATCAGCAGGTGGACTCTCAACTGCTGCGCCACCAGGGAAGCCCCTGTCACTGTTTTTTATTTTAGCCATTCTGGTAAGTGTGTAGTGATATCTCATTGTTGTCTTAATTTGCATCTCTTACGGTAATGATATTGAACATCTTTTTATGGCCTTATCTGCCATCTGTATATCCTCTTTGGTGAAATGTCTGTTCATGTTTTTTCCTCATTTTGTAATTGGATTATTTACTTTTCTACAGTTGAGTTTGAAATACTATCCTTTGTCAGATGTGTGCTTTGCAAATATTTTCTCCCAGTCTGTAGCTTGACTTTTCATCTTCTAGTTAAAGTTGTTCACAAAGGAAAATTTTACATTTTAATGAAATTCAGCTAATCCATTTTTCCTTATATGGTGCTTTTGGTGTTAAGTGTATGAACACTTTGTCTCAGGTCCTGAAGATTTTCTTCTATTTTTTTTCCTGAAAGTTTTATAGTTTTATGTTTTACATTTAAGTCCATGATCCATTTTGAGTTAATTTTTGTGTAAGGTATAAGGTTTAGGTTGAGGTTCATATTTTTGCCTATCAATGTTCAGTTGATCGAGCACCATTTGATGAAAAGCTTCTCCTACCTCCACTGAATTACTTTTTGCACCTTTGTCAGAAATCATTTGAGCATATTTGTGTGGGTCTGTTTCTGGGTTCTCTATTTTGTCCATTGATCTATGTCTATCTGCAAATATCACACAATCTGGATTGCTGTAGCTATTTAATAAGACTGATTCATTCCACTGTATTCCTCTTTTCCAAAATTAATTTAGCTATTGTAGTTCCTTTTTCTTTCCGTATGAATTTTAGAATAAACTTATCTACATCTATAAAAAATATTGCTAGGATTTTGATGGGAATTATGTTAATCCTGTATCTGAATTTGGGGAGAATGGGCATCTTTTCTTTGTTAAGTCTTCCAATCCATGAACACAGAATGTCTCTCCATTTATTTGTCTTTTATTTCTTTCATCAGTGCTGTGTAGTTTCCGGCATACAAGTCCTATATATGTTTTGTTAGGTTTACACCTAAGCATTTCATTTTTTTGGACTGATTGTAAATGGTATTGTCTTTTAAGTTTTGGTATCCATGAGTTCATTGTTAATATGTAGAAATACAGTTGATTTTATACGTTTATTTTTTCTCTTACATCCTTGCTGGACTCACTTATAAGTTCTAGGAGTTCTTTTATAGATTGTTTTTACATAGACATGCATGTCATCTGCAAATAGGGACAGTTTTATTTTTCTGTGTACAAACAAGTTGCCTTTTTTTTTTTTTTGTCTTGTTGCACTGACTAGGACTTCTAGTACTATGTTGAGTAAGGTGATGAGAGCAGACGTCCTTGCCTTGTTCCTGTTCTTAGGGGGAAAGCAGTCAGTCTTTCACCAATAAGTATAATGTTAGCTATAAGTTTTTTTGTAGATTTTCTTTATCGAGTTGAAGAAGTTACCTCCTATCCCTAGTTTTCTGAGATTTTTTTAATGAGGAATGGGTGTTGACTTTTTTCAAATGCTTTTTCTGCATCAATTGATATGGTTATGTGATTTTTCATCTTTAGCTTGTTGATGTGATTTTTGAATATTAAACTAGATTTGCATCCAGAGAATAAACCTCTTGGTCATGGTGTATGATTCTTTTTTAAAAAATTATTATGGTAAAATATTCAATACACATAGCATACAATTTACCATTTTAGCCATTTAAAAGTGTACAATTAGTTGGTTTTTTTAATGTTTTTTCTTATGCATTTTTAAAAAAATGTATTTATTTTATTTATTTATTTTTGGCTGCATTGGGTCTTCGTTGCTGCACGTGGGCATTCTCTAGTTTCGGCGAGCGGGAGCTACTCTTCGTTGCGGTGCCCGCAGCCTTCTCATTGCGGTGGTTTCTCTTGTTGCAGAACATGGGCTCTAGGCTCGCGGGCTTCAGTAGTTGTGGCTCGCGGGCTCTAGAGCACAGGCTCAGTAGTTGTGGTGCACGGGCTTAGCTGCTCCGCGGCATGTGGGATCTTCCCGGACCAGGGCTCGAACCTGTGTCCCCTGCACTGGCAGGCAGATTCTTAGCCACTGTGCCACCAGGGAAACCCGATTAGTTGTTGCTAAGTACATTCCCAGTGTTGTGCAGCCATCACCACTGTCTAATTCCAGAACGTTTTCATCACTCAAAAGGAAACCTCATACTCATTAAACAATCTCTTCCCATTCCCATTTCCCCCAGCCCCTGGCAACCACTAATCTGCTTTTTGTTTCTATGGATTTGCCAGCTCTGCATATTTCATATAAATGGAATTATACAGTATGTGGCCTTTCGTGTCTGGTTTCTTTCACTTAGCATAATGTTTTCAAGGTTCATCCATGTCATAGCATGTCAGTACTTCATTCCTTTCTATGACTGAATAATATGCCATATTTTGTTTATCCATTCATCTGTTGATGGACATTTGGGTTGTTTCCATCTTTTGGCTATTGTGAATAGTGGTACTGTGAACTTTCACGTACAAGTTTTTGTTTGGACACCTGTTTTCAGTGCTTTTGGGTATATACCTAGATGTGGAATTACTGGGTCATATGGTAATTCAACGTTTTAACTTTTTGAGGAACTGCCAAACTCTTTTCCAAAGTGGCTACACCATTTTACATTCCCACCAGGAATCTATGAGGGAGGGTCCAAGTTTCTTCACATCCTCATCAATACCTGTTATTTTATGTTTTGCTATTGTTGTTGTTATGGCCACCCTAGTAGGTGTGAAGTGGTGTCTCATTGTGGTTTTGATTTGCATTTCCTAATCATTAATGATGTTGAGCATTTTGTCATATGGTTGTTAGCCATGTGTATATCTTTTTTAAATTACTTTATTTATTTTAATTTTGGCAGCGTTGGGTCTTCGTTGCTGCGCGCAGGCTTTCTCTAGTTGTGGCGAGCGGTGGCTACTCTTCGTTGTGGTGCACAGGCTTCTCATTGCGGTGGCTTCTCTTGTTGCAGAGCACAGGCTCTAGGCGTGGGGGCTTCAGTAGTTGTGACACGTGGGGTCAGTAGCTGTGGCTCACGGGCTTAAGAGCGCAGGCTCAGTAGTTGTGATGCACGGGCTTAGTTGCTCTGCGGCATGTGGGATCTTCCTGGACCAGAGCTCGAACCCACGTCTCCTGCATTGGCAGGCAGATTCCTAACCACTGCACCACCAGGGAAGTCCCCATGTGTATATCTTCTTTGGAGAAATGTCTATTCAAGTCCTTTGTTCATTTTTTAAGTGGGTCTTTTTGTTGTTGAGTTGTAGAAGGTTTTTAAATATACTCTGATACTAGAACCTATGTAATTCTTTTTATATATTGCTAAATATCATTAATGACTTTACATCTGTATTCATGAGAGATACTGGCAGTAGTTTTCATTTTTTGTACTGTTTTAGTCAGGGAAATACTAGCTTCATAACATGAATTGGGAAGTGTTCCCTGTTCTGTTTTCTGGAAGAGATTGTATGTAGTTGATATTAAGTCTTCTTTAAAAGTTTGGTATAAGGGCTTCCCTGGTGGCGCAGTGGTTGAGAGTCCGCCTGCCAATGCAGGGGACACAGGTTCGTGCCCCGGTCCAGGAAGATCCCACATGCCGAGGAGCGGCTGGGCCCGTGAGCCATGGCTGCTGAGCCTGCGCGTCTGGAGCCTGTGCTCCGCGACGGGAGAGGCTACACCAGTGAGAGGCTCGCATACCGCAAAAAAAAAAAAAAAAAAAAAAGTTTGGTATAATTCTCTAATCAAGGCATCTGGTCCTCAAGATTTCTTTTGGGGGGATTTTTAAGATTAAAATTTCAATTTCTTTCAGAGTTACAGGACTATTAAAATTATATATTTCATATTAGGTGCATTATGGTAGGTTTTTTTTTTTTTTGAGGAATTGGTGCATTTCCTCTTAGTTGTCAAGTTTTTGTGTGTAGAATTGTTTGTAGTATCCCTTATCATCCTTTCTGTGTCTCCAAGGTCTGTAATCATATCCCATTTCATTCCTGATACTGGTAGTTTGTGTCCTCCCTCCCTTTCCCCTCTTCGGTCGATTTCTAGAACACTGAAATGGCTTTTGTCAATTTTATCCAACTTTATGGTTGTTTTTCCAGGAAAGGATTTGTCTTCCACCTTCCCTTCTCTACTGTAGTCTTTTTTTAAAACATAACTTTCTTTTCCTAGGTTAAAGAAGTTTCCTTTTAATTCTAATTCTCTTAAGGGTTTTTATTTTGTTTTATTTTATATTATTATTATTTTTCTGGCTGCACCACACAGCTTGCAGGATCTTAGTTCCCCGACTAGGGATTGAACCCGGGCCACGGCAGTGAAAGCACCGAATCCTAACCACTGGACTGCCAGGGAATTTCCTATTTTGTTTTATTTTAAGTAGGGAATAATTGTTCATCGTCTCTTCTCTATCTCATGAAATGACTATATTTTTGCCTTTAACCTATAAAATATCATATTACTAGATTTTCTGATGTTGAACTCTTCTTGATGCGTTCCTCAAAAACTTTTACTTGGTCAGAGCACATTACTTTTTTTAATGCGCTGCTGAAATTTGGTTTGTTACTATTTTATTCAGAAGATTTGCATGCATATTAATCAGCAAGATTGATCTAAAATGTTATTTTCTTTTACTATTTTGTTGGTTTGATATCAAGTTATGTTAGCTCATAAAATGGGCTGAGTAACTTTTCCACTTCTTCTGTTTTATGAAATATGTTGTTTAATATAGAAAGATTATTTTTCCTTTGAAGATTTGGTAAAACATTTTAGTGAAACTGTGGGCTTGGTATTTCTTATCATGGAAGACATTTGATTGTCAGTTCCAGTTTTGGTAATTTATATTTTTCTTGAAATCTCTCCATGTCTTCCTAGTTTTCAAATGTACTGGAATAAAGTTATTCATAGTATTCTCATATGTTATTTAAAATATCTGCCGTTACTGTTTGTTATACTTCCTTTTCTGTTCCTAATATTGTTTATTTTCTCACTCTCTCCTGTCTTTCTGATAAGGAGACTTCCCGGAGTTTTTTCTAGTTTAGTAGTTTTGTCAGAGAACAGGATTTTGGTTTTATTGATTACTGTTTTGTTTTCTGTTATTAATTTGTGCTCTTACATACATTTTTTCCTATTTTTTCTTTTCTTTCTTTTTTTTTTTTCTAGTTCCCTGACCAGGGATCGAACCCGTGCCCTTGGCAGTGAAAGCACAGAGTCCTAACCACTGGACCGCCAGGGAACTCCCCTGCTCTTTTATTTTTATACTCATTTTTCGACTTCTTTTGGGTTTACTTTCTTCACCCCAGGGTCCTGAACTGAATATGGAACTCATTTATTCTCAGGCTTTCCTATCTTCGATTTTTCAACTTTTTTTTTCTTAAATCAAGCCTCTTCCCCAGGAGCAGCCACTGGAACTGTCCTGTCCCTTGAGGCTCAGGGTGTTTATTTTATTTTTTATTGAAATATAATTCACATATTGTTAAACTCATCCACTTAAAGTGTGTGATTCAGTGGGTCTTAGTATATTCACGAAATTGTACAACCAGTATCACTATGTCATTCCCAAACCTGAAGCCCCATACCGTATACCCAGTAGGCCGTCATTCCCAGCTCCAGCCCCTGGTAACCACAATCTCCTTTCTGTTTCTATGCATTTGCCTGTTCTAGACATTTAATATATATGGAATCATATAATATATGGCCTTTTACACTTGATTTCTTTTATTTAGCATAATGTTTTCAAGATTCACCCATGTTATAGCCTGTATCAGTACTTGTTAGTTTCCTAGGGCTGATATAACAAATTACCACAAAACGGATGACTTAAACAACAGAAATTTATTGTCTCACTGTTCTGGAGGCTAAAGGTCTGAGATTAGGGTGTTAGCGGGAATGGTTCCTCCAGAAGGCTGTGAGGGAGAATCTGTTCCAGGCCTCTTGCCTAGCTTCTGGTAGTTGGCTGGCAATCTTTGATGTTTCTTGGCTTGTAGGGGGAAAACATTTAATCTTTGTGCGTCAAGTATGTGTTTACCTAGGTGTTCTCAGTGTGATCTCTCCATTATAAAATTTCCCTTTCACCTCTCATCTAGCGGTTTTAGCCTCCACTGATAATTGTAACGTAAATCCATAACTTCATTAGGGGTGGCAAACTGTTGATTTTCTAATTCTCTTATTCTTTTTGGCCAGTGGGACCCCTTCAACGTGACTCCTGTGCCATCCTGGTAGCATCCTTGCAAGTTGTCCCAGGTTTGCCTTGTACATTTCCTTCCCAGGTTTGGAATCAGCCATTTTGGAGCTTTCCTTTTTTTTTTTATTATTAATCCATTTTAGGATCAAAAAGTTATCTCAAAATACTGATTTTGCCACACCCCATACATTTTAGTATGTAGTACTTAAATTCTAAATCAGCTATAAATATTTTGTAATTTTAAAATTTACTCTTATTTTTATTTATTTTATTTTATAAATTTATTTTATTTATTTACTTTTGGCTTCCTTGGGTCTTCGTTGCGGTGCGTGGGCTTCTCATTGCGGTGGCTTCTCTTGTTGCAGAGCAAGGGCTCTAGGCGTGCAGGTTTCAGTAGTTGTGACACACGGGCTCAGTAGTTGTGGCTCATGGGCTGTAGAGCACAGGCTCAGTAGTTGTGGTGCACAGGCTTAGTTGTTCCGCGGCATGTGGGATCTTCCTGGACCAGGGCTCGAGCCTGTGTCCCCTGCATTGGCAGGTGGATTCTTAACTACTGCGCCATCAGGGAAGTCCCTATTTACTCTTTTTAAAAAAAAAAAAACAGCTATATATGAGATATAGTTCACATACTCTACAATTCACCCATTTAAAATGTAATTCAGTGGTTTTTTAGTATATTCATAGAAATGTGCAACCATCATCACGGTAAATTTTAGAACGTTTAAATCATCTCAAAAAGAAGCCCCATACTCTTTAGCTATCACCCACCCACTCTCATTCCCTTGTTCTTCAACTCTCTA